ACCATGGACATTTATATATATAACAAATTCTAAGATGAATTTCCAAATATCTGGGACAAGTGACTAGGAACTTTATAATAATAACAGATTCAGTTTCTGTCCAGGGGGTATTCAAAGTGCAGTCCTTCCTGTTTGTACAGTGGGACCCTTTGCATCCATTAAATATAATGAAGGACAATTACTGCTGATGTATAAAGATATTTGTGTTAAATTAGAAAAGCAGGTTTCAGGAGAGTAGAATGGAACATATTTATATTAGAAAGAAGAAGAGAAGGATCCATTTGTGAAAGGATTGACCCAAGTGATAGGATTGGATTCATCTTTTTTACTTTTAGCTTCTCTGTCTCTCCTCATTTTTCTGTGATGAATTTAGATTTCAAACTTGAGGAACAACATTTGTACACAAAACACACTAATTCTGCTGTAGTCACACATGACTGTCCTGACACCATTGGACGCAGGGTTTGTATGTGTTGAAAGATGCTGATTTCATGCAGCTGGAGCCACCAGTGGGCGGGAAGGTGAATGGCGCTGTGGATACAGAAGGACTTGTCAGGTGCGTGGCCCTACACACATGGAAGGATTGTGAGCTGGGACAGGGAGTATGAGGGGCGGGACAGGCACTGAGCCGCAGGCCTACTTGGTGCTGCTAGTCAGGAGACGTTGGGGATGGTGAGGCCTGGGGATTTCTGTCACTATCATATTGCATTACATCACTAGTTCCAGGCCACTCCAGAGAATTAGTTGCTTTTCACAGAATCCACAATGCTTTCCCTGGGTCTCAGAATAAAAATTTTTGTGGAAATAGCATAAAAGCACCTTTGATTTGTGGTCTGGGTGAGTATATCTGCTTTCTTACTCTCTCCTGTTTGTTTTGTGGAATGTCATCTTGCTGAACTTGCTCATTGTGCTTTTGAATAGCACATTATACTTTCTGGTTGTCACAGGCTGTAAAGCCCCTGAGTGGGAAAGCTTGTGAGGGGAGTTTCATATGTGGGCCCCCTTCACTGTGTTGTGCACCTGAAACTAATATAAAACAACACTGACTGTCAACTGTAATCTATATATATACCTATCCTATCTAATAAAAGACAAAAAGGGTAATTGACCGTACCTTTGCTACGCTTCCCATTGGCTAATCAGGGCGATATGCAAATTAACTGCCAAGAAAGATGGCGGTTAATTTGCATATGTAGGCACAATGATGGGAGGCAAAAGGAGAAGGATGGAAGAATGGTGATCAGAAACCCAGGCGGCAGGCAAGGGCCGGGGAACTGGGGCCGCCCTTGCCCGCCCCCCAGCCAGTGATCGTGATTGGAAAGCCGGGCCGCATGCAAGGCGGCACCCCTGGGACACAGGAGCCACCTTGCCTGTGGCCCCTGATCCTGATCACGATCAGAAAGCCAGGCCGCATGCAAGGCGGCACCCCTGGGACCCAGGAGCCCCACGGTGAGGTCTGTAGGTGCGATCAAACTATGAGGGGGAGGGTGGGGGGCGGAAGGAGCTACAGAAGCAGCTCTGGCTGGAGACTGAAGACTCCCGCTGAAGCGAGGAGCAAAGACTGAAGGCTCCAGCCACAGAGAAGACTGTGTCCAGAGCGAAGATGGAAGGTGGTGGCCAGAGTGAAGGTCTGGGTCCCGGGTGCCAGAGGAAAACTGGTGCCAGTAGCCAGGGGAAGGGAAAGCCTATTGCACGAATCTTTTCGTGCAACAGGCCTCTAGTATATATATATAAAAAGCCAGTGACCAGAAAGCTGGAACAACTGAAACGACTAGAAATGACCCATTGCTATGATGCCCACTGTGGCAGCCAACCGGCCCACTGGGGGCAGGGCTGGCCAGCCAAACTCCCGCATCCCCTCTTCCCCACCACCAGCCCGGCCCCACCCCACCCGTGCACGAATTCATGCACCAGGCGTCTAGTCCTATCTAATAAAAGAGAAACATGGTAATTAACCGTAACTTCGCTACCCTTCCCATTGGCTAATCAGGGCGATATGCAAATTAACTGCCAAGAAAGATGGCGGTTAATTTGCATATGTAGGCACAATGATGGGAGGCAAAAGGAGAAGGATGGAAGAATGGTGATCAGAAACCCAGGCGGCAGGCAAGGGCCGGGGAACTGGGGCCGCCCTTGCCCGCCCCCCAGCCAGTGATCGTGATTGGAAAGCCGGGCCGCATGCAAGGCGGCACCCCTGGGACACAGGAGCCACCTTGCCTGTGGCCCCTGATCCTGATCACGATCAGAAAGCCAGGCCGCATGCAAGGCGGCACCCCTGGGACCCAGGAGCCCCACGGCGAGGTCTGTAGGTGCGATCAAACTATGAGGGGGAGGGTGGGGGGCGGAAGGAGCTACAGAAGCAGCTCTGGCTGGAGACTGAAGACTCCCGCCAGAGCGAGGAGCAAAGAGTGAAGGCTCCAGCCACAGCGAAGACTGTGTCCAGAGCGAAGATGGAAGGTGGTGGCCAGAGTGAAGGTCTGGGTCCCGGGTGCCAGAGGAAAACTGGTGCCAGTAGCCAGGGGAAGGGAAAGCCTATTGCACGAATCTTTTCGTGCAACAGGCCTCTAGTATATATATATAAAAAGCCAGTGACCAGAAAGCTGGAACAACTGAAACGACTAGAAATGACCCATTGCTATGATGCCCACTGTGGCAGCCAACCGGCCCACTGGGGGCAGGGCTGGCCAGCCAAACTCCCGCATCCCCTCTTCCCCACCACCAGCCCGGCCCCACCCCACCCGTGCACGAATTCATGCACCAGGCGTCTAGTCCTATCTAATAAAAGAGAAACATGGTAATTAACCGTAACTTCGCTACCCTTCCCATTGGCTAATCAGGGCGATATGCAAATTAACTGCCAAGAAAGATGGCGGTTAATTTGCATATGTAGGCACAATGATGGGAGGCAAAAGGAGAAGGATGGAAGAATGGTGATCAGAAACCCAGGCGGCAGGCAAGGGCCGGGGAACTGGGGCCGCCCTTGCCCGCCCCCCAGCCAGTGATCGTGATTGGAAAGCCGGGCCGCATGCAAGGCGGCACCCCTGGGACACAGGAGCCACCTTGCCTGTGGCCCCTGATCCTGATCACGATCAGAAAGCCAGGCCGCATGCAAGGCGGCACCCCTGGGACCCAGGAGCCCCACGGCGAGGTCTGTAGGTGCGATCAAACTATGGATCAGCGTGACAGGGGGCAGCGCCCAAACCCCCTGATCACCCTGTGGCTCTGTGTGTGACAGGGTGCGGCGTCCCAACCCCCTGATCAGCCCTGCTCTGTGCGTGATAGGGGGGAGCTCCCCAACCCCCTGATCGCCCTGCGGCTCTGTGTGTGAAAGGGGGCGGGGCCACAACCTCCCCTGCTCTCCTGCTCTGTTCCTGACAGGGGAAGGCGCCCCAACCCCCTGATTGGCCCTGCTTTGTGCCTGATGGGGGGAACCCCCTGAGAACAACCGGAACGACCAGTTGCTATGATGCGTACTGACTACCAGGGGGAAGGCACTCAATGCAGGAGCTGCCCCCTGGTGGTCAGTGCACTCCCACAGCCAACCTCCCTTGGCCAGCAAATCTCCCACAGTCCCTCCCCCTGGCCAGCAGGCCCCGATCAATCACTTGATCAGCGCTGGGCCCTGGGCTGGGATGGGGAACCGGGGGTTGGTGATGGTGGATGCGGCCCCTTTCCCAGGGGTGCCAAGGGCCAACTTCCTCCTCAGGGCCAGCAGCCAATGCCCCACAGTCCCTCCCTCCTTTTCCCTCCCCCCGGCTGGCAGGCCCCAATCGGCCTGGCCCCAATCAGCCTGGCCCCGATTGGCCCTGATCACTGGTCAGGCCTAGGGACCCCACCCATGCAGGAATTTCATGCACCAGGCCTCTAGTTGAAAAATAAAATAAAATAAAAAAACTAAAAAACCAAGGGTTTCCCTTTATCCCCCAGTGATTTTTTTTAAGGCTTTGAGCAATAGGAATTTCATGCACCAGGCCTCTAGTTGAAAAATAAAATAAAATAAAAAAACTAAAAAACCAAGGGTTTCCCTTTATCCCCCAGTGATTTTTTTTTAAGGCTTTGAGCAATAGATAAAATGTATTTGCTCATTTTCATAAATAAAGGATTGTGAAGATACCCACCAGCTATTGACAGTACTGATTTCTGAGAAGGGGATCTGTAGCTGGGTGGGATGCCAGAGGACTTTCCTTTTATCTGTATATTTCAGGTTTGTTTTTTTTAAACCTCACCAGAGGTTATTTTTCCATTGATTTTTAGAGAGAGTGGAAGAGTGAGGGAAAGACAGAGAAATATCAATGTGAGAGAAACACATTGATTGGTAGCCTCCTGCATGAGCCCTGACCAAGGCCTGGGACAGGGAGGAGACTGCAACCAAGATACATGCTCTTGACCAGAATCAAACCCAGGACCCTTTGATCTGCAGGCCAACACTCTATCCACTGAGCCAAACCAGCTAGGACTATTTCAGGTTTGTTTTTAAAAACTTATTTACATATTACTTGTATTACCTATACTTTCTCTATATCTATAATAATATAATGATAATATATTAATTAGACTGGACGCCTTCCAGATGTCATTCCGGACATCCTTCCTGACAAAGCCGGGACCAAAGGGAAGCAGCCTGGGTCCTGGGTGCCTGTGGGCGGCCGGAGGAGGGAAGCCCGGGTCCCAGATGCCAGAGGGAAGCCAGTGCCGGCAGCCGGGGAAAGGAAGGCCTACGCTTACACAAAAGAAGGCCTATTCTTGCATCAGGCCTCTAGTAAAATACATAAAATAAAATATGAAGTAAGTAGAGTTGGATATTTCTGTTTAGACCTGAAAGTCTCCATGTATGTGTGCGTGCATTGTGTGTGTGTGTGTGTGTGTGTGTGTGTGTGGTGGGTGAGGGGTATTCAGGAAAGGGTAAAGGTAAGATCACACTTGAACTACCTTAACATAGAGACTTAAACATGTCAAAACATTGGCACTTGGTCGTGCAGTTGAGAATCAGGACCACTCACCTGGGAAAGCCCATCCTCTGAGGTCTGCTTCCCCCACTGCAAATAGCCGATGTTACTGCGTGCTGGGACTCCATGTAGCATTTCTTGAGACTTCCCATTTTGACAGCCATTAAAGACATGTGGACTTGCTCTTCCAGTTAAAACCATGTTCAAAACTGCCTAGTGACACAGTTTATAAATACTACATTTTAGGTAGCAACAACACAAGGACTTAATTTCTTTTTTATTTTAATCATCATTTTAAAATTACCATTTTTATTGAAAAGAATGAAATCACACACGTAATTCTAGAAAAATGTATGGCATTAACATTTTAGGGTTAAAAAAACTGTTTTTCTTGAGCCATAGTCCATAACTTCCCATGTGCCCCACTCAGAACCTGTTGCTCATCCTCCCTTTACATTCCTTTTAAACTTTGGTTTCCATGGTTAGGATTTAAGGAGCAGGAGACTAATATGTTATTATAGAACTTTTCTTTCAGTTATTAGGGATTCCTGGTGGGTCTTAACAAAATATTTTTGGGAGGTGAAGGAGGGTATTGGGGGATAAATGGTGATGGAAGGAGACTTGACTTGGGGTGGTGAACACACAGTACAGTGTACAGATGATGTGTTATAGAATTGTGCACCTGAAAGCTGTATAATTTTGTTAACCAGTGTCACCCAACAAATTCAATTAAAAGGAAAAAAAGATATTTTCTAATGTTTCTAGACTCTCAGGGATAGAGGCCTCTCAGAGGTAAACTAGAAAGGACTGTAATGGGAACTGGAAGGTCAGATCTGATAACAAACTCAGGGCAGCATCTTAGTCTTTCAAGGATAAATTGACCTCTCTTCATTTAAGAGAATATGCTCAATTTTTAAAAAGCCTGATTCACATTCCACAACAGAAGCCAAAGTCTTCCCCCTACCTGCCTGCATAGGAAGCCTCCAGCATTTGGTTGTAGCAGATGAATGGTGGAGACATCTAGGTCCTTCTGAAGCCTGCAGAATGGGAGATGCCATCAGCATTTGGTCAGAGAGGATGACTGCACCAAGGACCTGCAGCCTCTCCTCCCTCTAGCACAACACAAAGCGGCAGTCACATGGGCTCACCTGGTCACTGTCCCTCCCGTGTGCCCTCCCTGTCTCCTTCTCTCGCAGGAAAGCTTCTAGGACTGGGGCTGCACAGGGAAAGCTGTGGGTGCAGGTGGGAGAAGCCACAGACCCCACGCGTTGGAATCCCTGTGTATGCTCCGATGCTGGGCTCAGTAGAGACATTGCTCTGGGACAAGGGATGCTTAGCTTAGGGTGGTGATAGGTGACCACTCCAGAGAGAACTGGCCCAAGGCAGAATTGAACAGACTGGAAAACACCAGTTTGGGGCTTGAGCTCATTTCTTGGCTATGGAAGGGCAGCCTCTACTGTTTCATCAGAGACCAGGAGTTGGGTTTCTACCCTGGACAATGTTAAAGTCAAGGTGCAACATGGCTCCTATTGTCACCGAGCGGAAGGTGCTGGTACGAGAGCTGTATATGTTCTTGACAGAACCTATTCCCAGGACTAGAGGTCACTCCCTTTTGAGAATACGACCCAGAGACTGGTCAAGCATGGCAAATGCCTTGAGGGCATCAGGTATAATTCAGGGCAGTGCTTTCCAAAGTATGGCATGATTTTGGATGGCACAGAGATGAGCATTTAAAAATGTTTTATAGTGATGTTTTTAATACATATTTGTCTTCAGCACACCAAATACATGATTTAAAGGATATTAATGTTAGGAAAGAAGTTAATATTTAAATGTGTGTTGATTTAAAGCAAGCTTAAGCAAATAATAATATAGACCACAAAAATGTGATGGTGATATACAAAAGACAGGTTTCAGGAATACTGCCTCAGGGCTTGTAATTCTTCCCTTCTGGGGGCTCTCTAGCTCTCGCCAAGCTTACCCCTCTTTCAGTCTACTTCTAAGAAGCCTTCCTTGACTCTCATAACTGCTGGGCACCCTTCCTCCTCTGGAACCCACTGGATTAATTGTCTTCACACCTCATTTGGCCCATCAAGTACCAGCTGGGACTTGCCCAGGCTCTACGTCAGTGGTTCTCAACCTTCCTAATGCCGCGACCCTTTAATACAGTTCCTCATGTTGTGGTGACCCCCAATTTCATTGTTACAAATTGAACATAATTAAAGCATAGTGATTAATCACAAAAACAATATGTAATTATATATGTGTTTTCTGATGGTCTTAGGCGACCCCTGTGAAAGGGTCGTTCGACCCCCAAAGAGGTCGCGACCCACAGGTTGAGAACCGCTGCTCTATGTGGACCTCTCGTCTTTCCCAGACTGGAACCTGCAGGAGGCCAGGGTTCTATCTTCTTTATTTGTATTTTCCACAGTGTGAAGAACAGGCCTTTGCATATTACAGAGGCAAAATAAATACTTGAGAATCTATTTTACTGTGCATATAAGTAATAAAACATTTTATATGAAAATTGTACAAATAAGCTTTGTTGTCTGCCAATATTTATAACCACAGAAAGGATCCTAGCACTGTACCACAAAAGCAGATTCAAAGTTTCCTGATGATAGTCATTTACCCATTACTATGGCCAAACTGATGATAGAAAAGGACGTATCAACAGAAAGAGCATCCACTAGAAAAATATTGCACTCGTTTCCAGTAGGCATGAAAGTATTCTCCAACACCAGAGTACATGGTTTATGTGACCCCAGAGCCAAAGGAAATGCTGGGTAAATATTTGTAGAACATACCTTTCAAATGTTCTGGAGAAGATCAGGCTGTAAAGAAACAGGATGACACCGTGGCTTCCTTCCCCACTGAACTGTTTGGAAAGCAAGGGAAAAGCACGTTTGCCTCCAAGCAATGCAGCTATGAATACCTGTGGGCATGAACTCAAGGATTTACTGCCTGAGAGATTTATTTTCTAGCTGCTTAAAGGGCAGCTGGAGCTCTCTCTGCTCCCCTAGATCTATCTCCACTCTCAAATGCATTCTCCTTCCTGCTTCCAGCCTGCCAATGATACCATCATTCTCTCGATTTTCAACCTCTCTTTCTTTCCTCCACTTCTGTCTTGCGATTTTCTTCAAACCATGGCTAGGATGTAGCATATCTTTCCTCTCCATTTTTCTGGGTCCATCCTAGCCCAAGTCCCAGGGCTGCTCTTGGCTGGCCTCCCTTCCCAGCCTCTCCTTAGTCAGTGCACCCCTCTTGGTTGAACTCAGGGGGAGTGTGGCGGGGGTGGGGGATGAGAGGTTTTATAGAAATACAGACCTGGAGTTATACAGACCTGGATTCAGAACCAGTTCTACTACTCACTAACTCAGGGTTATCTTACGTCTTTGAGCTCAATCTCCTCATCTGCAATTGCATATAAAAATACCTTTCCCCCAGGTTTGTTACAAAAGTGAAATGACGCATGCAAATACCTGCCTTGAGTCTCAGAACGGAATGTGCTAGGTCCCAGTACCTGTTCTTTTCTGAGGCACTTCTCCTCTGTCTCTTCCCTTGGGCAGGTTGCTTTTCTGCTCAGAACCTTCTGAAGGTGCCCTGTGATCTCCAGGATCAAATCCAAATTGCCCAGCCAACATTCAGGGCCTCTCCTTCATTGGTCTTATCTTAGTTTTTGGTCCACACTCTACCTGCTGCAAAGAAGCTCCTTGGCTGGCTTTCGAGATACCAGGGTAAGGCCCCTCCCTTAGAGGCACTGTATCAGGAAGGCTTCAGCTAAAATGCCCGTGCTTTGCCTTTTATGGATTCATTTGTCCCCTTCACTATCTGACTGGCAGGAGAATAAATTCCAGTGCCCCAGGAACCAGGGCCTGACAAACTCCAGTGCCATAGGAGCTAGACAGGAACCCAAATGGGCGCACTGCAGGCTGTGAGGGAGGGCTGGGCCGAGGCAACCTGGAGAAGGCTTGCATGCTAGTTTCCTGTCACTGCCATAGCAAATTACCACAAACGTGGGGGCCTAAAACAACATGAATTTATTATTTGAAGTTCTGGAAGTTAGAAACCCAACTTGGTGTCAGTGCACCCGGTTCAAACGGCTGGCCAGCCTGCATCCCACCTGGAGGCTTTCCTGCCTGTTTCCAGTGTCTGGAAGCCGTCCTTGTTTCTTGGCCAAGGATCCCACATTACACAGCCCTCCCCCCTCTGCTTTGGCACTGCACCTCTTCCTCTTTCTCTCCCACCACCTCATTTTCCTTATGAAACCCATGACTAATTGAACCCACCAGGATAAGCTAAGATAATCTCCCCATCTCAAAATCTTAAACTTCATCAGAGCCCTTCATAACTGGTAGGTAACATCATTCACTCCACCACAACTTGTCTAATGGGAGTCACGCTCAGTTAACTGAGGACATGCTGAGCTATAGGTCTAGAGCAGCAAATTTCCTGATTTTTTTTTCCGGGGGGGGTGGGGGTGCGCGAGCGGGGGAAGAGGGGGGGGGGGGGCGCGGGCGGGGGAAGCTAAAGTCCAGGTTTTTATGTGAGATTTTCTGATTGGCTTTGACTGTTGCTGATTCAAATTTAAAAAAAAAAATCTAACACTGTGTGGTTTAATGCTGCAGATATAGGTGTATTGCTTTCCTAGCGCTGCTATAACAAATTATTAAAAATCTGAATTACTTACAACAATAGGACACTATTCTCTCCTGGTTCTGGAAGCCAGAAGTCTTAACTGAAGGTGTCCGAGCAAGGCCGCACTCTCTCTCCAGGCCCCAGGGAGGATCCCTCCTTGATCTTCCCAGCTTCTGGTGGCTGCTGGCAATCCCTGGTGTCCCTTGGTCTGGGAGATGCATCACCCCAGCCTCTGTCTCCATCATCACAGGGTACTCTCCCTGCATGTCTGGGTCTGCGCCCAAATTTCCTTCTTATAAAAACACCAGTCATTGCATTAGGGCCACCCCAATCCAGCATGACCTTATCTCAACTTGATTGCATCTGCAAAGACCCTGTTTCCAAATCAGAGCACATTCATCGGTCCTGGGAGTTAGGACTTGAACATATCATTTTGGGGGGATGCACTTTAACCTATAACAACAGGTCTGCTGCTCACATGTAGCCCTCAGAGCCCTCACTTGAGATCTGTGCTTTAAACTAGGACACAGTACTGGTACATTTTGATAGTGAATGGGGGATGATCACAACAAGCAGCCTCTGGTCAGGAAGCACCCTTCAGAATATATGCATCAAGTTCCCTCTCGCTCAGGAAATGGGGCCAACCTGTCCTCAGCGCGGCTATGGAAAGGGTCAGCTTGGGTCGGCTTGATGCAGGCAGTTCTGTGCCGAGCCCACCTGTGCTGCGCAGTCGCAGTGGTTCTCAACCTTGGCTGCACATTAGAATCACCTGGGAATCTTTTTAAAATCCTGATTTCTGGGCCTCATCCTCGGAGAGAACCACTGGCTTAGGGCCTTTGTTAGCTTTTCCAACTCACTCCTAGCCTTTGATGGGGAAAGCCTGTGTGGAGCTTCAGCGCTGGCCCTCTGATTCTCAACTCCTGAGAAGACCTTGCAGATGTGGGGGTCCTTCCTAATGAATTAGACTCTTCCAGGTCTGAGTTGAAGAGATGGAAGACAGAGGGGGAAGCATGTGCCTCTTTTAGCTGGAAGGATCATTTATTCCTTACATGGCTCCTCTCTCTGTGTAACCCCATTAAGCATCTCCCGCTTGCAAGATAATCTCTAAGCAGGCTTCCAGTTTAACATTTCATGTCAGCCATTGAAAATCTATCATCAGGTTTTATTAGTTTCATATTGCTGCTATAACAAATTACTATAAATTTAGAAGCTTGAATAATATAAACTTATTATCTAACAGTTCTGGTGGTCAGAGTCTGAAATGGCTACCTCACAGGGCTAAAATCAAGATGCCAGCAGGGCCACTTTCTTTCTGGGGGCTGCAGGGCAGAATCTGTTTCCTTTCCTTTCCAGCCTTAGTGGCCCTGCCCACATTCCTTGGTTCACGGTCCCACCTTCCATCTTCAAAGCTGCAACAGTGATGACACCTCTCATCCCACATCACTCTTCCCCTCTCTTCTGCCTCCCTCACATTCAAGGACCCTGTGAGTACATCGGGCCCACCTGGGTAATCCAGGATACTCTCCCTATTATAGTCAGCTGACTAGAGACCTTAATTCCCCTTTGCCATGTGATGTAACAGTCATAGGTTCCCGGGACCAGGGTACGGACATCTTTGGGAGACCATTCTTTTGCCGAACACAGACCTATGAGATGGTAGGCGAGATGGGCCCAGGGGAACCAGGCTAACCAAGGTCTTATACAGTTAGTGTGGCTGAGAACTCAACCCCCAGGTTTCTGCCTCTACGGCCTTTGAAAGGAGCAGAGCAGTGAGTTCCATGGATCACAGTCCCCTTACACAGCCCAAAGTTGTGTGGCTTCACCGTCACCCTGCTCAGGTTCCTCTGCTTTCACACTGTCATCTCAATTCCTCAGAAAATCAGCTTTCCTTTGTTTCTCCACTGAGGAATCTTTTAAAATAAAACCTTCCATTACTTTCCAGGGGCTGGGTGAGAACCATTGCAGAGGAGAACACTGTGTGGAAGGTGCTGATAGAAGAGGTGCAACAGGGCCACCTTTTTCAGACCAGAAGTAATTTCCTTAGCATCGATGTGAATGGTCACTTTGGCAATTCGGACTAGAACCGTCGTTGTCTACCATTTTTGTCTTTTATTCACTAGGTGAGGCAAGACTGCTTTAACATTTTCTCTCCACAAAAGAAATCTTGGCACATGCCCTCTATCGTATTATTTTCTGGGCTTGATTAGCCAAGGAGTGGCCAGTGTGTGATCTGCCTCTTTCTAGGTTTCGGGGAGGGAGAGGCGGGCTTCCTTTCTCTTGGTCTGCCCTTCCTGAACCCTCAAGACGACCTGGTTTTCTTAACAAGTATCATTAAAAAGACACTTTGTAAAAGAAAGAAGGTTCCTGTAAGATCAGTTCAACATAAAGTAATTATCTCAGTACTTAAACACTTACACATTGTAAATGATCATAGATGAATTTCTCAGTGGCCTCTTTCTCCAAAACTTCAAACAGCTGAAGCTATAAATCAGGAAAAGAAGATTAAAATGAGAAGGAAGATGAAAGTTACACCTATAAGATGTCAATTCACTGTTATTACCTCAAGGGAGATTTTTGCTTCATTGTAAAATCACATTGCTAAAAACTGACATATTCTCTTATACAAGGACATATAAAACATGGTAAAATTGGGTGGCTACTGGCCTCACGTTTACATCCCTCAGTTTTAAATCAATATGATATCTTAAGCAGTAAAACCATAAACAGACCCCTTCCCCCCAATAGGTAGAGTTTAGCTATGTTTAAGACAGTGGGCATGGAAATGCACTTTATGATGATTTCAGGTATGGGATATTCTTGATCATGGTGGAAGGAGAAATCCGTAGCAGGATTCTCTATTTTGGCTGCTTGGATCACCTACAATCCTTGCCCCTCACCTCTTTGAATGGTGCCTTTGGCCACAGCAGACACTCACAGAAGCATCGATGGGGCCCCACCCCCACTTCCATGGTGAACCAGTACCCAGACTGCACTCACCCTCTCAGTGAAATTGTCTCCAGCATAGTCAGGAGTCGAGGTGACTTGAGTGTCCTCAGTGACAAGACAGATGGTGGCCTTCTCATCTTCTCCTGCCACCCACAGGATACCAGCGAGTGCCGCAGCCAGGGCCTGCTTCTGCTCTTGCTTGCTTATTGCACATAGACTGCAAGGCAGGAGGTGGGGTTAGAATGGACCGTCATCTGGCCATGTGCTGGGGCCTCCACTCTTATGAACTCTGAATACAGGGTTGGTTCCTTCATCAACCTACACTGCGAGGATGTCATGAGGGCTTGTCCTATCTGCTGTCACTGGAACTGGTGTCCTCTCAGCAGCATATTGCTCTTGGTAATATGGGGGGCGGGCAGTTACTACTGCCGCCATCGAGTCCCACCACTGTCCTCTCTCCAGAACTCCAGCAGGGACTGAGCTATGTTCTTTAACCCAATAACACAGGCCCTTTCCTAGCACAGCCCCGAACAATTCTCCCAGTTTTATCTCCCAGATTTCCATTTTGCAAACCCTCTGCCCCAGATGGACCAGTCCCTGAACATATTTCCCACATTTGCTCATGCACTTGTCTGCCTTTAATGTGCATGCCACGTATGTCCTGTCTGCCTGACCACAGCCTGTGCATCACTGGAGGTCTACTCCAGGTTGCCCTTATTAACCCAGAGCTGACACTCACCTGGCACTCACTGTGCCCAGTGCTGTTCTGAGCACTTCACACATATCACCTCATTTAGTCCTCACAACAATCTGTGAGGTAGATTCTATTAGTACTCCCATTTTAGAGGTGAGGAAGTTAAGACAGAGAGGTTGAGTAATTTGCCCCTGGTCATTCATCTTTAAAGTGGTAGAGCAGTGATTTGAATGTGGGTAGTCTGGCTCCTGACTCCCTAGTCCTAACCATTACACTCCATTGAGTAATAATCTCAGGCTGTCCAACCTCCCAGGAAATAGGAACCCATCTTTAGTGGTATACTTAACTATGCCTGTTTTCTCAGTATTTTACATTGACAACTGTTGTCCCAATGAAGAAACACATGGGGTTTCATTAATGAACTCAGCAATAACTTACAGAATCCATCTAGTTCTGTGGCAATAGAGAAATGAGTCAGAAGGAGCCTCATACTCCAACATCCTAGTAGGAGGCGCATGAGAACAAAAGAGAGTGCTGTGAGAGTACAGGAGAGAGAACGCGTGGCTGGGAAGGTGCAGGAGGCTTCGTGGAGCTGATCTATCACAGCAGTTACTCATCACCATGTATTTCATATTTGCCACATACCAGGACTGTGTTAAATGCTTTACATTCATGCAGCAAATATTGTGTGTGCTCCATCTAGATTCCCTGGGATCCCTTTTACTTAGTTGGTGGACATGTCACCCAGCTGCTTCCAGTACTGCTGCTACTGGCTCCTACTTTTCAACTTTCTCTGAAGTACTGGAGGCACCTGGCCCAGAGGTGACGAGGAGCTATGCCTCTCCTGCAGGATGGCCACGGTCGATGCCTGATGGGGTGGAGGTACCAAAGCCCTGCTCTCTCAGCTGTGGATGGGCAATAAGCTCCCGGGATCAGGCTGAGGCTAGACTTCACAAGAACCCCATTCTTTTTTTTTTTAATTTTATTTTCTTGTTTAAAGTATTACAAATAGTAATATATATGTCTCCTTTTTTCCCCATTGTGATCTCCCACCAGCGTCCCCTACCCCTCGCCACATGCCCTCACCACCCCCACCCCCAATGTCTTGCATCCATTGGTTATGCATATATGCATGCATACGAGTCCTTTGGTTGATCTCTTACTTCCCCCACCCAACCCTCCCCTGCCTTCCCGCTGTAGTTTGACAGTCTGTTCGATGCTCCCTTGCCTCTGTATCTATTTTTGTTCCTCAGTTTATAATGTTCTTTATATTCCACAAATAAGTTAGATCATGTGATATTTATCTTTCACTGACTGGCTTATTTCACTTAGCATAATGTTTCCACTTCCATCCATGCTGTTGCAAATGGTAAGAATTCCTTCTTTTTTTACAGCAGCATAGCATTCCATTGTGTAGATGTACCAGAGTTTTCTAATCCATTCATCTGCTGATGGGCACTTAGGCTGTTTCCAAATCTTAGCTATT